GGAGGGAGAATTTGTCAGCTTCAGGTGTGGTGCTCCTCTCAACAGACATTACAGACAGGCTGAACTGCATTGCTCCCATACCTTTCTAAGTTTCACATCTCAGAGAGGCTGTCAGCCTGGAATCTACAGTGCATAGATAGCCGTACACTCTGATGTATCTCATTTCTAAGTGTCCCCTGCAGGACATTCAACATAAAGGGCTTACAAAGGCTACCCCTGGGCAAGGGAAGAACCTGGACCTGAAATTCTCAAAGGAGGCCAACTTAAAGGGCAAGAAGATGAGTGATCAACCTTTCTCACCAGAAATGTGAAGGTGTAGCTTGGCTGTGCATAGCTCAGTACTTTTCTATAAACTGCGTGATGGAAAAGTATGCATAAAATGCAGACGCTACACATTGTCAATCTTTTCTAAAACAACTATGACATCATTTTCAAACCAACCCATGCAACATTACAGTGAACATGTGGTCTGTGCAGGTTTAGACCCCCCCTCGGTACATAGGCGCTGGCTGGGAATGTCCTGTGTATCCCCATGTATTCTGTGTATCCTTTGGTATCTGAACTTTAAAGTAGCTGTAAAGGCTCAAGGTTTTTTACCTTCAAGCATTCTATGCATGAAGGTAAAAAACCTTCACTGTGCAGAAGCCCCCCTAATACTCACCTGTGCCATTGCCTTCCGCTGCTGTCAATCACAGCCAATGAGGAGAGAGAGGGTGGGGTCGAGTCGTGGCTCAGCGTGTGAATGGACACACACAGTAGCGGGTGCCCTCATAGCAAGCTACTTGCTGTGGGGGCACCCGACAGGAGGGAGGGGCCAGGATAGCCTGAGGGGGACCCGAGAAGAGGTTTTGCACAGAGCTGCTCTGTGCAAAACCACTGCACACAGCAGGTAAGTATAAGTATAACATGTTTGTTGTTTTTTTAGAAAACAAAATTTAAGCCTTTAGAATGACTTTACGATGTTAGGGGAAGAAGGAGTATCCACTTTAACATAAACCTGGCAAATCCAAAACAGAGCATTTAATGGAAAAAATATGCATAAAAGTTATTCAGTGAAAACTATGAGTCAGAACTGTCAGCTGATCCATAGATATCTCCATAAATTTAAAGTGGTTGTAAGGGCAGGTTTTCCACCGTAATGCATTCTCTGCATTAGGGTAAAAAACCTTCTGTGTTCAGCTCCCCCTAGTCTCCCACTAAATACTTACCTGAGCCCAATCCCAATCCAGCGTTGTGCCGAAGAGCGGCAGCTCTTCCTTCTATTGGCATGCTGTAAATAGCAGCCTGTAAGGAGAGAGTGGGGGGGGGGGGGGGGGGGCAGGGCTGATCAGCACTGTATGTGTCAATGGACACACAGAGACCATCCTGGATCAAGCCTGCACAAGAGCCTCAATAGCAAGCGGCATGCTATAGAGGCAATAAGAAGCCGGGGGGGGGGGGTAGGTCGCATTTCCAGAAGATCCAGCAACATTAGGACTACTGTGTGCAAAACTGTTGCACATGCACAGATCAAGTAAGTATGACCTGTTTGTTATTTAAAAACAAAATTTACCTTTACCATTACTTTTTTCAATTTCAGTGCTTTTACACTTTGAGTGACAATTGTGCGGTCATGCAACACTGTACCTATATGAATTGTTTAGCATTTTTTGAGACAGATAAAACTTTATTTTGGTGGTATTTATTCACCACTGGGATTTTGATTTTTATTGCTATAAAAATAAAGTCCAAACATTTTGAAAAAAAAAAGTTTTTTTTTTTTTTTTTATAAACTTTTCCAAATAATCTTTCTTCATAAATCTTGGCCAAAATGTAGTCATCTTTTTTATAAAAAACAAAACAAATTAGTTTATAACCAAAAATTATAATTTTTAAAAAAATGTGCTTTACATTTTTATTTATGTTTTTTTTTTGTTTTCTTTTAACATACTGTCACCCTAGCAGTACAGTGTCACATAGTGACAATGTACTACTTGTGGGGGGGTGATAAAGATTTTTTTCTTTTTTTTTACACCGATTGCTTTTTACACCCATACAGGCTGTAAAAGCAATCATTTATCCTTCTCTGGCTGCATTCTTGCGGCCATTGAGAAATACTGTGAGAGCCGTGATTGGTCACAGTTTGTCACATGGTACAAGGCTGTTGTGAATAGCTTTGTACCATGTGACCTCTGTGATCATTCACAGCTTTCACATGTAGTAAGCAATGATGTCAGGAAGTGACATCTTGTTTACTACTGTTCCTGTGATCACTGATTGCCCAGGGAGCGCGCACAGGCAGTGAATGAGGAGGCCGTTTATAAATGGCCACCCGCTCCTGCACTGCTCCCGTCCGGCCGTTTATGCACATAGACTGGACGGGAAGTGGTTAACAAAGAAAACTCAAACACAGATTGCCAAGTTCCACTGCTAAACAAAACACAAAAGCATAAATTTGGCATACAAGTTTATTGCAGAAATTGTGGACATATGTACAAGTTCTTGCCTAAATTTGGAGCCTTGGATGTGAATGTAATGTGATAGAATATTGCAATAGAACAGGCATTAAATGTTCCTAACTGAATACATTATAGCCACGTCAGTGGGTATGAAAGAAGATAAAAGCGCTCATACACTATCTGGGGACTTTAAACAGGCTAACAACTAAAAACTGAAGTTTAAAGCATATGACAATAATATGGTAGAGATTATGGTTTAAAAAAAAAGAAAGCCATTGGTGTGGGGTGGTCTGGTCTCATGTCAATCTCACCACATCACAAATCCCAAAAAACTGTATCGGTATGCCTTATTTGGCTGGTGATGGAGTTAGCACCTTTGCGCGCACAGCGCACCCTCCTTTCAGTGACCCTTTTCTATGCTCATAAGGCTATCTTGCTCCATTGGAAAAAAACCTGAAGCTCTCACTATCTCCTATTGGAAGTCCCTGATTAACAAGATGTTACCACTATATCAGGTGACCTACTTGAGCAGAGGTTCCCCCAAAAACTTTGATAAGGTTTGGCATTTGTTTGGCACTACCAACACCACCATCAATCCCGCCCCGCAAGCCAAAGTCCTTGGCGTCATTCTGGACTCAAACCTCTCCTTCCAACCTCATGTCAAATCCCTTACAAATACATGCAGGCTCCACCTTCGCAACATCGCCAAAATACGTACCTTCCTTACCCCAGACACCACTAAACTACTCGTACACTCCGATTATCTCACGCTTCGACTACTGCAACTCCCTGCTCACCGGCCTACCCCAGCACAGGCTCTCCCCGCTTCAGACCATCCTGAACTCAGCGGCTAGACTCATCCACCTTACCAACCGCTCCACCTCTGCCACCCCCCTCTGCCTATCCCTCCACTGGCTCCCTATTGCCCAACGCATCAAATTCAAACTACTCACTCTGACCTACAAAGCCATTCACAACACTGCCCCTAACTACCTCACCAACCTGATTCCCAGGTATCGCCCCACCCGTACCCTTCGCTCTTCACAGGACCTCCTTCTATCTTGCCCCCTGGTCTCCTCCTCCCACGCACGTCTGCAAGACTTCTCCAGGTCCTCCCCCATCCTCTGGAAATCACTACCCCAATCCATCAGACTGTCACCTTCCCTCCTCACCTTCAGGCGCTCCCTGAAAACCCACCTCTTCAGGGAAGCCTACCCCACCCTCACCTAACTGCCGTTTCTCCTTCATTCCTCCTACCACTCCATCCCCCACAGCCACTTCCTCCTGTACCACTACCCCCTCCCTCCTAGATTGTAAGCTCGAAAGAGTAGGGCCCTCTAACCCCTCGTGAGCTGTTTGTAGTTGCTGTACTGTTTCATGTATTGTTCCCCCCTCTATTGTACAGCGCTGAGCAAACCCTTTGGCGCTATATAAACTCAATGTAATGTAATGTAATAATTTGTTGGGTTTCTGCTTTCTCTACTCTAACATGAAATCTATAGGGAGGATTAAAGATGTTTGCCTGCTACTATATCTGGTCCTCGATATATGATGGAGAGTGGATCATATACATTGATTGTCTAATATTACCTTGCTTGTGGTTCCCAGGGTATGTTACATGTGAAGTCATTACTTTGTAATGTTAGGGCACCTAGACTTTGGCTCTTTTACTAAAGGCATTGCACTGTTGTTAGGGAAGGGAGGTGAGGATATTTGTGTTCCTACTGGCTAAGCCAGTTTAATGTACTTTTTGTGTCTCTGTATTATACTTGTTAAACTTAATAAAAAGAATAAAAAAAAAAAAATGAATCAAAATTGTCACTCTATAGTGACCAAGCAGTGACTCCAGTCTTCTTTCACGTGCATGCATTTGGGATACAGGGAGTCGGTATTTATGACTTGTTTTGCCATCAGCTAAGCAAATCACAGAAGCCACCTTCCTTTATGCTTCTTGCTTTTTACACCAAATGCAAAATGTAGTAAGCCAATTTCATTAAAAGTAGATAGGGATACTGAGAAAAAAAAAATACCACCAATTTGATTTTAAGAAAAAGAAATTAACATTTTTTGCCAGTTATATAGTCATGGATAGCTGCAGACTAAAATTAATTTGGCCAAACACGTACACTTGCACTATATCAGCATGCATGTCTAAAAAGGTTGCCTGATGGCTGGATTGCAAATATTCAGCTATTGTGTGTACATCCATGGTCATTATTTTAAGAGTAAGGCTGGCCATACACTATACAATTTCCTGGCCAATTTCCTTTAGATTTACCTTTCACTATGTAGTGCAAGGGCTTGCCTAACTGGATACAGAAAGTGTTGTTTAGGTTTGACCTCCTATTATATGGTTTTTGGAAAATCTAAAGTAAAATTCTCAAGAAAATTGTATACTGTGTGGTCATCCTAAGACTTCCAATGCAAATTTTGCTAAATCAATCAAGCACAGCCACCAATTTGTAGCTAAAATTACAGGATTGAGAATTGTAACAATACATTATGGAGATGAGGAAATTTAGTTTGAACACAATATTCTGAATAATTAGGTTTCCCTCTTACCTTCTGGTTCTACAGTGGTTTCCTCTACTCGACTGTAAGATGGACGGGCAATTGCCAAACTGACCGAGAACAAGCAAAGAAGAAGCATGCTGTCAGTGAACCCGCCCCATGCTTTTCGTGAGTGCCGCACCATGAACGACCCCATCCGGCTGGCTGTGAGCAAGCATGGGATGAACGTACCACTATGTGGTTCCCAATTCTGCGTGGGAGATCCTGCAACAGATCAATAAAAGGGTAAATATCAATCTATACATTTTTTGGGGGTCATAAAACTAATACCGATAACACCAATAATATACAAAAAGCAATAACCCAAAGTAATAAACTTCTAGTTTTGTGGGGGGGGTAGATGAGTGGAATATTCCAATCCCATTCAGTCATCATTTTAGCCTGCTGCAAAAAGTGCTTGTTGAAGGTGAGCTTGTTTACATACAAAAAATTGCTTGTTGAAGGTGAGCTTGTTTACATACAGTACATCACATCAGCATATATTCTGCAGCATTTCACAATGGAGATGTATTGACTTTAGAAAATAAATTTTGATTAAGCTCGTTTCCAACAACTCAATTCATCGCTTTTGAAACAATGGAAAATATAGCAGGGTGATATCACTAGTTCACATATAGATTCCCAGTGACCACAGACATCACTGTGGCAATAGTTCCCGTCAAACTGAGGCTGGTTTCCACTCACAAAATGATTGCCATTGGCTCTTTGTAGATAACTGCTACTTTAAAAAGATAAAATGTTTACACAAAAAAAACACATTTTAAGCTGTGCATTTGCTTGCAGCTCAGAATCAAAGATTAAAAGCCCACCAGGAATACCATCTGCTTGTATTTCCTCCCACAGCACAAAAAACATACCGGTAGGTTAAAAAACCAAAACATAAATGGTCCTAGTGTGTTTGTGTGTATCTGTAGGACTGTGGTAGGGACATTAAACTATAAAGTTTTCTGGGGTAGGTACTGATGTGGCTGGTTCTATGTACTCTACAAGGTTCAGAGAAATGTGTTGGCCACTATAGAGTTTAATAAAAACAAATATGTGTTAAAATTAACAACTATGCTTTTCGTTATAGCCATATCTGCTTTAGTCGTTACACTGAAGTCCATCTGCGATATTAGTTTCCCAATGAAAAACATATTAAAAACTGTAATTCAGCCCCTTATTCTCGATTTCCATAAAATGTGAAATTATTCATTCCATTTAATCCAGTTTTATTAGGATGGCAGGAGGCAAATCTGCACAGCAAGCAAACATAGTAACCACACGAAGAACTACTTATTGCCACAGTTCAGTGATAAAAATTCCTCCTCTATAAAACTATGGACCTACGCTTTTAATATGGAGATGTGGTGGGAAGGTTAAGTGTGATTGGCTTTACTAAATATGTGCTGAAGAACCGAAAAACTTGAGAGCAGGCTCGGGATGAAAAGGCATCCAATCGCCAGACAGATGTCTTACGGTTGATGCAGGAAAGAGATGGGTGTATAGCATCCATAACCAAGGACAGTTACTGTGTAAATGTTCACAGGGGACTCGTAAAGAAGCAGCACAGAAAAAGAAGATAGAGAGATATATACACAAACCATTCACACAAAAGGAAGTTTTCATAATCCTGTAGGTAGTACGGTAGTCTTAACTTTGGTAATTACAAACTAAAATGAACTTTTCCTTGTCTACCAAGTTCTCTAAATAAAAGGAAGGGAAAACTAGGGGTTCAGCTACAATATGGTAATGCCAATTAAAAAGTGAAGACATGGTTTCCCATCATTCCAATGAAATAAAATTGTGCTTGGTTAGAAGTAACACACCTTTTCATATTAAATACCTGTAAAACAATTTAGAGAAGTGCTACCCACACTTGGAGGGGTTGCCTGCAACAATGTTTATGGCAGTAGTGGTGGACCTCAAGACTGGAGATGCATGGAGTACCTATTTCAGCCTTTTTCAACCAGGGTGCCTTGCAAAAGTGCCTAAAAATTGCCCAAAAATTGAATACAAGCCAGCAGGTGGATCAACCTTTTCTTTTAGTTACACAAAGCCACAGGTTTTCATTGTGCAACATTACGACCTTCTAGCTACTGGCATTCTAACAACCAATGAAATGCACAGCATCCTTGTTTGCCCTTCCCCTGCCCCTCTCCATCAGCGCTGGGGTCAAATTAGCTGAGTGATTGGGAAAAATTGAGGAAGAAGAGAACCACTGGAATACTATTCAGCAACAGTGTGCAAAAGTGTATTTCATTTGGAAGAAAAAAAACGCTTCTAACGTTGGATGCCCTACGTGTGTGGATGTTGATGCATTATGTAAAACTATGAGAATAGTTTTTTTTTACATTTTAGAATTGATGGCCTTGAGATTGTCCATAAAAAAAAAAAAAAAAAAAAAGAAGGTTGAGAAACCCTGACCTATACAAATGAAGGCTAAATAATCTGATAACGATAACTCTAGCGCCATCCAATCCACCAGATCACAATGCACCCCTTTTGCCACATAAAGATTTTATTACGTGCATTGGCTTGCCCTGTCTCAACATCTCAACAGAAAAGATGAAGAAAATTATCCACAGTAAAGTGTATTACTGCACCATAAAACGTATAAAAAAAGTGCAATTTCACTTTAAGTATACACCCTGGAGAAATTTCACATATGTCAGTCAACTCAATAACACAGAGTCATTGATAAATATTAATGTAGTTCTGCTCCTTCGTTAAAAAGCCAAAGAAAACACACATCTATGCAACAGCTCCCAAGGCTCCACATGCTGAACATTGATTTGTTTAAGCACATTGGCTGCCCAACAATTTGGATTAGTATAACCCTGCTGAAGAGGAGTTACATGTGTGCAAAGCAACTAAGCTAGTTATTCATTATACTCTTTCAGAAGACAACACTTCATCACAAGCTCATCAATAAATAATTACTAAACTGAATTACAAATCAATTCTTTAGCAGGCCTAAAAAGAGACACACACACACATCCCCTCATCAAAAAAAACTCTACTCTCTTGGCCTCCTCCGAGACTCTGCTCTCTCCTGGTTCTCCTCCTACCTATCGCAGCGTTACTTATAACTCTGGATCCTCCTCTTCACTCCCTCTTTCTGTAGGGGTTCCTCAAGGTTCCGTCCTTGGGCCCCTACTCTTCTCCATCTACACCTCCTCCCTTGGTCACTTGATAAATTCCCATGGCTATAATAAGTACCATCTCTATGCTGATGGCACACAAATCTATCTTTCTACCCCTCACCTCACCCCTTCAGTCTCCTCTCGCATTACTAACCTACTAAGTGACATATCGGCATGGATGTCACTCCACTTCCTCAAACTCAATGTTTCCAAAACTGAGCTCTTAGTATTCCCTCCAGCCCGTGCCCCGTCCCCGAACTTCTCCATCAAAATCAATAACACAATCATCAGTCCCTCCCCTCATGCCAGGGTACTAGGTGTAACCCTAGACCCCCATCTGTCCTTTCAGTCCCAAATCCAATCACTGTCCAAATCTTGTAGACTTCACCTCCACAACATCTCCAAGATACGGCCGTTCTTAACCTTGGAAACTACTAAGCAACTTTTTCACTCCCTTGTTATATCCCGCCTTGACTATTGTAACTCCCTCCTCATTGGCCTACCTAATTGCAGGCTATCCCCTCTTCAGTCTATCATGAATGCTGCTGCCAGACTCATCCACCTCTCTCTGCCAATCCCTCCACTGGCTTCCCATTGCCCAACGGATAAAATTCAAAACATTAACAATAACATATAAAGCCATTTATAATTCTGCCCTGAATTACATCAGCAATCTTGTCTCCAAATATCACCCAAACCGTACTCTCCGCTCCTCACAAGACCTCCTGCTCTCTAGCTCCCTTGTTTCCTCCTCCCATGCTCATCTCCAGGACTTCTCAAGAGCTTCCCCCATCCTTTGGAACTCTCTACCCCAATTTATCAGACTATCGCCTACTCTGCTCACTTTTAGGCAATCTCTGAACACCAGTCCATCCCCCACAGTTATTACCTTTTGTACCACTAGCCCCTCCCTCCTAGATTGTAAGCTCCAAGGAGCAGGGCCCTCCTATCCCTCTTGAATTGAACTGTATTGTTGCTGTATTGCCTCCCTTTATATTGTAAAGCGCTGAGCAAACTGTTGGCGCTATATAAATCCTGTATTATAATAATATTATATTAACCACTATAAACCTGGCCAATTATGACTACACAACAAACAAAGCAAGGGTTACCTTTAGTGAAACTGCATTTCAAAACTATAGGCAGATGTAGAGATACAAGGAGCTTAAAATATCTGCAAATCTTAAAAGTGGAGTTCCAGACATTTTTGTGTTTATTAAAAGTCAGCAGCTACAGTTTTTTTAGCTGTTGACTTTTAATAAACACACATTTACCGGTCCAGCAATGTACTCACTCGCGCAGTACCTTCTCTCCTTCTGTCCTCCACAGTGCCGGCATCTCTACTGCGGGCACCTGGATATGACAGCTTGCGGCTTCACAGCCTGGTGCCCACTGTGCATGCGTGAGTCGCGCTGCACTTCCCGACTGGTCCAGCAGTCTCATGCGACCTGTGAAAGTTCCTAGGAGACTGCGGGAGCAAGGAGGGGGATGAACTTTGCCACAGCAAACTGAGCCAGAAGTGGGAGTGGATACCTGTCAAAACCAGGTACCCACTCCTGCCTCCCCCCAAAAGGTGCCAATATGGCAGTGGAGGTGGGAAGGAAGCAAATAAGCGGAGCTTCCACTTTTGAGTGGAACTCTGCATTAACCTTCCCTGTAAACAATAAGCTTGGAACTAGCCTTTCCCATCTTCTCAACCTACAAAGTTTGACTTTCCTTGATCTGCAAAAAAACAAAACTATACACGTCACCTAATCTTGCCTTTATCAACATAGGTGCCTTCTGGGTTCTTCAGGGGTGCCTTGGCAAAATGCCTAAAAATTGGCCAAATATTGTCAACAAGCTAGCGGGTGGTTCAAGCTTGCCTTTTTGTTACAAAAGGCCACAGGGTTTTTATTGTGCAACATTACAACCTTGGGCACGGCACGGGCTGACATCCTGACAGCTTCTTGTTGTTTGCCCCTCTCCTGCCCTCCTCCATTAGCACTGGGGTCACATTAGCTGAGTGAGG